ACTGCTAGCTACAGTTAGGCGGGCACGCCTGGGGTGACAAATTTCTGGATATCGTTTCGACGTCTGACAAACGTCAAGGAGGTCACGTTGTCGTATTAGCATGGTTACCCGACTCACAACATGTATTAATATTAGTTTATTCACAGTTTGGATTTTTGAATCTATATCTCCTTCGGGATAGTGATCCCATGAGTTTGTATCTATATCACTTACGGGATAGTGATCCCACGGTTTTGTTTCTATATCTCTTTCGGGATAGTGATCCCATGGTACTATCAAACTATTTTGTATCTATTCCGGGATAGTGATCCCATGGTTTTATACCTATAACTTGTACGGGATGTCTTTCCCCATGGTCTTTAACTATATCTTATTCGGGATAGCGATCCCATGGTTTTGTATCTATATTAAGTACGGGATGATAATCCCATGGTCTAAATCTATATCTTGTCCGGGATAGTGATCCCATGGTTTTCAATCTATATTTCCATATATATCAAATAATCTCGTGTCTAGTCCGGGATGGTAGTCCCATGATCTTAAATCTGTACCTTCATATGTGCCAAACTAATCTTATATCTCTTTCGGGATAGTGAGCCCAAGATTTTCATCATATAGTTTTGTGTATTAAACTATACTTTGTGATATACAACTGATCTTACAATTAGGAAAATATGGGATTTTCCTGGGGTAAAACACAACTCGTAATCGAATTGGTAACAAATGATAACTAAACCAACTGCACATAAGAAAATATGGGATTTTCTTGGATAACAAAAAATTTCGGAAACTAAAGGAAACCGATACATTTTTATAAAACAAAACCACTTATGAACTCACCAGCTTTATGCTGATTTTCAAACCGCTTGTATTCTCAGGTCCAAGTTAGACAGGTACCCGGTGATCTCTTTTGGTGAAGACGGAGTGCGTGGAAGACTCGTCTCAACTTTTGTTATTATGATGCATATGTATATCTTGTACAACTTTACTTTTGAAACAACTGTAAACTTTTATATATGTAATGTAATGGTTGTTTACTGTGATTACTATGTACATTGGATTTGATACACAACGTGGTACTCCACCCCGAAAATGTTTCCGCCTTTGATTTTCGGGGTGTGACAGAAAGATTGTTCGAAATAAAGCCAGACTTGTTGTAAAAGGCTATTCACAACAAGAAGGAATCGATTATGAAGAAACCTTTGCCCATGTCGCAAGACTCGAGGCGGTTCGGATATTTCTAGCTTATGCAGCTCACAAAGATTTTGATGTTTATCAAATGGACGTGAAATGTGCATTTCTTAATGGAGAGCTTGAAGAAACGGTTATGTGGAACAACCCCCAGGTTTTATTAATGAAGAATTTCCTAATCACGTTTATATTTTAGATAAGGCAGTTTATGGTCTAAAACAAGCACCACGAGCATGAGAATTCGGAGACTTGATGAAAAGCAAGTTTGAAATGAGCATGATGGGAAAAATCAATAATTTCCTTGGATTGAATATTCGTCAAAACAGATAAGGGATTTTCATCAATCAAGAAAAATATACGAAAAAATTTCTTGAAAAGTTTGGATTGACGAATAGCACAAAGCTTCGTGTACCAATGGCAACAGGTATAAAGCTAACACCATCGTTTGACAAACCTGCTATTGATATAATGTTGTATAGGAGCATGATGATATTCGTTACTTTATCTTACAGCAAGTCGACCTGATATCATGTTTTCTGTGCGTAATTGTGCTAGGTATCAGTCTAATCCACGCGAACCACATCTTACTGTTGTGAAGAATATTTTTCGTCACCTTAAAGGCACTATTTCGTTAGGATTATGGTATCCTTCGAAAAAAGGATTCTTCATTCAAGCATACCCAGATGCAGACTTGGGTGGTTGTAATCTTGATCAAAAAAGCACAAGTGGTGGATGTCTATTTCTTGATGGCAAACTAGTCAGTTTGCAGTCGAAAAAGCAAACATGTGTGTCGATTTCCACGGCTGAAGCAGAATATGTGGCTGTTGTTGCATGCACTTTGCAAATAATATGGATTCAAAGTCAATTATGTGATTATGCAACTAATATGAAAAAATTCCATTATATTGTGATTCTCAAAGTGCAATAAGAATTTGTCATAATCCTGTGCAGCAATCGAAGACTAAACACATAGCTCTTTGTTATCATTTCTTTAAAGATCACGTGGAGGATGGAAATATTGAAGTACATTTCGTGAAAACAACTGATCAGTTAGCCGATATTTTCATGAAATTTTTGGATGAAAAGTCTCTAATGCGAATAATAGAAGGTCTTGGAATGATCGATGGAAATTCTGTTCCATGCGAAAAAGACGAATAATAAGCAAAAAAGAATGCGTCAGAGGCAATGAATAAAGTCATTCAGCATTCAGCGGTTATTCTTCATAGTCAACGCTTCGACCGCTTCGAATTCGCATGATTGTCACTGATCTTCAGCGTTGAGTCAGTGGTTACTGTTCATAGTCAACACTTCGAACGCTTCGAATTCGTACATTTGTTACTCTTCAAAGAATGCCAAATATTCTTTTGTTTGCAACAAATCAAAAACACAAAAAGATTTTCTTTTGTTTTGTCTTTATATTTTCGAAAAATTAGAAATCCAAAAATATTTTCTTTTGTTTTGTCTTTAAATTTTCGAAAAATCAAAAATCCAAAAAGATTTTCATTTTTTTGTCTTAATTTTCGAAAAATTCAAAAACAACAAAAATATTTTTAACTTCTTTTGAGAATTTTGTTGCAGACTTTGATGATGATTCGGAAGGGACAAAGTAGGCAGTATTGGGGACAGGTAAATTTTTTTTTTTCGTATGCATCACTATCTTTTTCATTATTCGAATTAGTTAGGTAGTCCCTAGAAGCATGCCGTTGCATGTCGACCAAAGCCTCCATGACTCATTGTGTGTGTACGAAAGCCTTAATGAAATTTTTCATACGAAAATTCTTCCCAATCAGGCTTATATTCACATTAGTCTCTGAGCTACCTTACTCTTCTCACAATGAGTTATGAGTTTCTTGTTTGGTCCAAAACATAACAGAGGTACTTTTCGTGTCTTACACCACTCTTTTTCATCAATACATTCTTACACGATCACACACAAATATGTATGTCCGAGAGGTCTCTGATCAAACCCATCGAGACCTAGATATACAAAAATTCTATGTAAATGATCTGACATCATGAGTCCGTGATGAAAGTGAAACCCAAACATCTTGAAACTTAAGGAATTGACGGGGAACATTGTTCCAGATATTAACGAAACTTTTGTTTCTGTACCAAAATTCGAAACTCCATATCATATTCATTTCGAATGTGTGGTCTTGATCAAACATTCGAAACCCGCGATGTTTGTTACCCAAAAAGATCCAGAACACAATTTTTTTTCATGAATATGATTTCAGTGTGAGTTTCATTCGAATATCCTTGTCATGATCACATTTTTCAAAGCTAACTTGTCACTAACTACACTGGTCAAACAAGTAATTTATGTTACAATTTATCACCTTATGTTTAGGTTGACATGTAACGAAATTTTAAACCAACCCAAGAATTACTTTTAAAAGAAGCCCTTTGATGCTTATCAAAAAGTAGTTCATTGTACTTCATGGGAACATACACAAGTTGTTGATCATCTCTCTTGATAATTAATGAAGCAACCTTTGCTCGGGGTTTAACTGCCTTCGTGTTAAATTGCATTTTTGACATCACTACATTCCAAAAAAAAATTAATTGTTTCTTGTCTAACCTTTCTTTGGCACACTGCACACACAAAATCCTTGAGGTTCTGAGTAATACTAACTCAGGCTGATGATTTCGATTATCTGGCATATGACTTCGCTTTTCATCCCAAAAGTGAAAGAGCCTTGCCACCATTCGAAGGGTTCTAATGGTTACAATTCAATAAAAGGGATGGTGACAGGCTGTGTAACCGTGACGTATGGTATTCAGCTCGGTTTTCTAGGAGATGTGACAGACACTTTTTAACGCATGGCTATCTTTCCACAGAACTGGTCCGATTTTCAAGGTGCCACGTCGGATCTCATTAAATGCATCCCGCTTCAAATTCAAATCATCCAGCGTTACATATAGAAGGGGGTTCTAGAGAACATTAAACGTTTACGCGAACAAACACTCAAAAATTACCAAAATTCTCTGTTCTTCATCTTCTTCAAACCCTAAAAATGTCGAGTACTTCTCATGTCGATGCTTCCACCGAAGATACATCCTCAGTACCAGTTATGAAGATTCAGTCTACCAATTATTCTGTAGATGGTGAACTTTCGTAGTGTCCGGAGGAATTCAAGATGCTAATTGTTGCGTTAAAAGACTCTGTTTTATCAAAAGAAATGTTCAACTCTTTTTCTGTTCTAGTATCCTGGCTTTCTCAAGCAGGATCTACAGCTACATACAACAAAGCCACTAATTCGATTACCTTTCATTTAATCAATGATAAAAAGGTTAGGCTTTGCAAGACATTGTTTTGCCAGATTCTTGAAATTCCTAATACACCTCCATTTGTTGAATTTCAATTCCCCCAGATCATTCATATGTTTAATGAAATAAGATATCAGCCCCGATTGTCAAAGATCAGTGACTTTAAGAAGTCTGGTCTTCCAAAACTATGGAATTTTTTGTTCGGAATCTTTTTGCACTGTTTAACCAGAAGAATAGTTGGCTTGGATAAAGGAAGGATGAAGATATATGCCATGGTGGTTGGTTTGTATTATGATCTTCCTGTCGATTACTCCACATAGCTATGGAAGGAGTTCCAGAAAGGGGTAGAACACACGAATGTTGTTCATGGCATTTCGTGTGCTCAGTACTGGAGTCTGATTTTGCAACATTTCTACAACAAGGAAGGTATTCTGGTATCCAATGAAGAAGAAAAGGTTACTTTTCAGTCTTACCATTTTCCAAAGGAGGTTGTTGACAATGCTGACGAATTTCCAAGTGTTGCTCAGATTCCCGATGCAATGCTTAAAAGGGTGGATCCTTCGAATCCTGTCTTGCAGGCATATTTGAAAACATTTGATTCTTCTATTCCTACAGGAATCTTATTACCACGCGAAGAAAAGAAGACCAATAAGTCGAAGAAAGCTGAGCCTTCCTCACCTGAGAAGAAAGCGAAGGGCTCAACACTATCCAAATCTCCAAAGAAGAAGCCAGAAAATGTTGTTGTAACAGTCGAAGCAACGCAAGTGATTACGCCAATAGTGGAAGAGTCACAAGAAAACGTGGTTATTCATTTGAAAACAAGGATGTTTCGAAGAATAAAGATGAAATCCACGCATAAACGCAAGTCATCATCTCAGAAACTGCTTCGTAAACCTCAACTTTTTCATCAAGGAGTATTGTTTCGTGAGGTTCCTGTTTCTCCCGCATCTAAGAAACGAACAGCAGAAGACATGGCAAAACATTTATCCCAACCGAAGAAGAAGAAGACGAAGAAGGCTCGGAAGATTGTTTCATCAAGTGAGTCAACAAAAGAGGATGAATGAGTACCAGAAACTCCGGAAGTCACCTCTATTCTTACAAGTTCAATTCCAGAGACCACTGTCATAGTCACCCCTGAAGTTTCGATTGCCAAGTCAATTTTTGGGGAGGTGAGAACTTCAGGCTTGGGTGAAAATGTTTTGAAGGATGCATACCAAGGTCCATTCATCTCTACTCCTTTTGAATCATTAGTTTTTGTTACACCAACATCAAACACTCCTCTTACTTCAACTACTATCTCTCCAACCTTCGAACACATCATCAATCAACCGATCACTTCCATGTTCTCCTATCAATCAACTGATACCCCCAAACCAACTTCACCCACTGAAACAGATCATGAAGGGTTTGGAGGAACATTCAAAGATTTGGAATTTCATGATGAAGAAGAAGATTTCCCTGATCACATGCTCATGACCATGAAACAATACAAAATTTGAATCAAAAGTTGAACTCCATTATTCAATCCCAAGCTGATCTTGGAGGGGGTTCATCAATTTCCAGTTTGGAGGTTGATTAAATGTTGAAGTTGTGTGAGTCTAGAATAATTTCCAAAGTGTCAGGCGTGTTAAAGGCTTCGGAGACAGTACTTATGGAGAAGATTGATTACTCAGATCAAATGTGACAAACCGAAGTTCGTTCCGTCGTCGTAACCTGTTCCGTTATTAAAAATTCTCCGTCTTGAATTATTTATGTTTCGTTTCTAAATTTAAGTCATTAATTTTAAGTTTGTTATTATGACTTAATAATTGTCCAAATACGTTAGAAATCCATGGAAACACCCCATTTTATTATTTGGAAAAATAATTGTTTTATTCTGTCCAATTATAAAAATAATTAAATTGGGTACGACCAAAAGCCTCGCTTGGCGACAGTATCTGTGACAACCCGAAATTTCCATTCTGTACGAACATTATCAAGTCAATAGAAGTTAGAACAGTCGCAGTAAATTTTCAGACTTTTCCGTATAACTTTGAGTATTTCAGGGTTTACACTTAAGGAGATATCAGGAGAGTGGATGCATTAGGGTTTTGTGCAACTCTGTTATTCTAAAACTCTATTACATTAGAGTTCATTACGGGAATGAAATATTTTCTTCCAAAAATCTCAGGACTATATATAGAATTTTGAGCCATAATCATTCATTTGTTGGATTTCCAACTAGAGAAAATCCATTTCTCTCTCACGAATCTTCGGGTTTTCATCCCAAATCGTGAGTACCTTTCTCTAGTTGTATTATATGGCTTATAATGTTCTTAATAACATCAATTTCATAACAAAACAACTAGATTCGACAGTTTACCGCCCAAGAACACCTTGGGGAGTAAACTCCTAAAAAGATGCCTAGTCCTTCCCCTGTGACTCGTAACTACCTTAGGCTTGTATGCTAGAGTGTATATGACTTGAAATCACCCCAAGAACACCAAAGTTTAGGTGTTCACGGCCCAAGAAGTTCTTGGACCGTGAACTCCAAAAACAAGGACCAAAGAGTGCTTTTAACACTCCTAAAGCTTTGGACAATTACCTAGATTTACTCCTAGTTATTTGAGAGACCTTAAAACATCAAAAACCTCTCCCAAAGAGAGATTACAGCCGTAATATCTAATGGAAAAGGTTCTTGGGCTGTAAACATGAAAGAAGGGCACCAACGTGTGCCTAAGGCCTTCATTAGCCTTAGATAAATGTATAGAACCTATCCTACATGAGGTTGGGACATGAAAGCACAAAAATATCCACTTCGATGTGAGTTTACGGCAGTAAACTCCAAAGTAATTGGCCTTGGGGCCGTAAACTCCTCAAAGGAGGTTATTAGTGCCCTAAACCCTTCCAAGAATTAATCCGCCAAGTTGGAATACTTCTAGGGATCATTTAGAACCCCAAAACATAAAATAACACCAAGCTTGGGAGTTCACGGCGGTAAACTCAAGGGTTTACGATCGTAAACTCCTTGTGTGATGTTTATGGAAGAGTAAACTCATGTATAGGGTCCTTTGGAACCCTAAACCCAATTGCCTTGTCCCACAACAACTTATATGCATTCCTTAGGGCTTATAACACTTATATAAAGTTTTTATTATGTTCTAGGATGTCTTAACATTTACAATTAGTAGTCTAAGACTAATTGGGTGCATATATGTTTGATTATATGTTGATTAGGATCATAGTGTGTGTACAAGTCCTCACTTGATACCTAACAATCCTACACCGTTCAGTACATCCAAACCACCATCTACATGTGAGTCCATACCCCTTAATCAATGTTTTAAATGATTTAAATGCTTTAATGGGGGGAATACAAGTAGAAAACAGCATGTTATTAAATCACTCATATGTATTTTATAACCGTGTTTCCATCCAGCAGATTTCACATACTACAAAATGTGATGCATGAAATGGTTTTCTATCTTAAAAATACTTTGTTATCAAATGTATTAATTTTGAAATGTTTATTTAAAATGACATCTTGAATAAAACTCTTAGATGTCTTACAAAACCATTTTTACCTTCTTGAATAAAACTATACTTATACACGTATGTTCTTATATATGTATTGAGGTTATAGTTTTCATTCTTCAATTATTTTTCGACACTCTTGTGTAGCAAGGGTGTATTAACCAACTTGAACAACCAATTACCTTCCAATTAATTATCATAGGGATAGTTAGAAGATTACAAAACATTATTCCTATTACAAGGAATCACACAAGAGTCGGTTCATTCATGAGTCTATAGCAGTACATTACATAATACACGAGTACATTTACATATGCTTACATGATACATGAGTACGTTTACATATGCTTACATGATACATGAGTACATTTACATATGCTTACATGATACATGAATACCGTACATGAATACCTTACATGAATACTTTACATGAATACTTGTATCTCGGTTCACGAGGATGATTTATTAGTACCTTCTCTGTAAATTGTCCTGCTTATCCCAATTCAACGGGATATCTAGATGGGACTAACCATTTTGAATCTCAACTGATTAGCACTAGTGGTTGATGAACATCTACGGATGCATGCGGTTATTACTTATACTAGGAGTACCTTTACAGGACTAACCCTTCCTACTCCATGCTGCTACTACAAAGGACAATTGGACAATCTTCGGATGTTCATTAGGTTACACATTTCGCTTACCGCAATGTCGTGTTAGTCCTAGTACCAAATGATAACACTTACATTAGTACATTTTCCTATTTTCTTTATTTTGTGATACATTCACATAAACGAAGAGTTAGACTATGTACTTTTAGTACTAGTCAATAGAAAGGAAAAACTATCATTTTACTTACAAAACATTCGAGTCTTGGCAGAAGACTACATTTCATACTAGTAGGAAATAAGGGATTTTCTATGGTTTTCATACTTATATCAACTGTTTCATTCAAAGATTTACATAGCATACATAACAGATTTCTAAAACAAGACAATGACATTTAAATACTTATGAATTCACCAGCTTTAGGCTGATACTCGCTTTCAAAATAACTTGTATTCTCAGGTCACCAGTATACAGGTACGATGGCCAGGTTTTAAGAAGACGGAGCACAGACAAGACTCGTCTTTTATTTTGATTGTATATTTTGGTGTCTTATTACAATGAAAGAGCACATATGTATTAAAACTTTACTTTTAATGCAATGGATGATGTTGTTGCTTGTTTACTACTTTACACTGTTGTGATATTGTACATGACATCCTCCACCCCGGAACGTTTCCGCCGTTCTTGGTTTTGGGGTGTGACAGATTGGTATCAGAACATTGTTTATAGTGAATATAGTATATCAACCCATAAAAGATATACTAACTAGAGGAAGAACCAGAAGATGATCACCCAATCCCTTTGGATGATCACCATGTTCCGATAGTTCTGACTCGGAGCCTGAAGTCAACAACCTACCCCGAACTACTCAAAACCCAAACCTGAACCCCCGTCCCGCATTTCAAGGACCCACACCTCTATGGGCCACAAACTTGAATACATGGAGTCAGGAACAGGGTCAACCTATCCCCTACAATGGAGATAGAAGTTTCTACAACCTCACTGAAGGAGGTTCTGCTGACAGGATCCTACCCATCATGGTTCGTAGAATTTCTAGGAACACCATACTGGGTCAATTAACTATCAATCGAGTCCTGGAGATTGACACCAACTCTGGCGTTAACACAGTCCGCATTCGCCAACTAGAGTCTGCTCACGAAAGGACTCTGGTCCGCAATGTAGCCTTGCAGAGGGAACTTGCTTAAACTCAATCTGAAGTTAGGGAACTTCGAGCTCAGCAAGCAAGAGCTGTCATGCGTATGAGGGACATGGAACGTCTACTATCAGGATCAAGGACTCATACTAGCAGTTCCCGTCGCCGATAGAATCTCGTCAACTCATCTTTTGAATATAACCTAGTTTATCTAAAAACATTGGTCTAATTTCCTATCTTCGTAAATCTTAGACCTGTTAGGTCTTGATCTAGTCATAGTTCTGTCAAAATTTTCCTATCTTGGTTGATGTAAGGCCTACTTATAGGCCATTTTCCTGAACTTGTTACATCTGTAATCCTAGTATTATTGACAAATATCTAATCTTATGGAAATTATTATGCAAATGTTGTCATCGTCATTTAAGTCATACTATTCATTTTGTTGTTGGACTATGGGGAGTTAGTCCATGAGACAAATTCATTATTCATTTATTCTTATCCATGTCGTCATATTTTAAACGTATAGTTAAAGATGCCACCATGCAGGAATCCCAGGCGTAACCCTAACAACGAAACACCGATACCACCACCTCAACCTCCTCAACCACCTTTTCCTTTCGATGTCACTATGTTCCAGGCAACCTTCATAGCAGCAGTAGTAGCTGATGTGTCAGCCATCAATACTCCTGTCCCTAGTGGATCGGGAACAGGTGCACTTCCCTCAAACCACGGAGAAAGCCATGGACACCCTCGGGAATGCACCTACAAGGACTTCATTAACGCCAAACCGCGCAACTTCAATGGAACTGGGGGTGTTATGGTGTTGAGATAATGGATTTAAAAGATGGAATCCGTCTTCGAAATCTGCGCTTGCCAAGGTGGGAACAAGGTCAAGTTTGCAACTTGTACCTTCTCTGGAAGAGCACTAACATGGGGGAACAGCCATGTTAAATATCTGACTCTGGTGGTAGCATATTCCATCAGCTGGGAACACTTGAAGGACATGCTGATAAGAGAGTACTGTCCTCGGGGAGAAATACAAAAACTCGAGCAGGAACTCTGGAGCCTTCAAATGGTTGGATCCGACATAGGAACCTACACAAATAGGTTCTGTGATCTAGCAATCCTATGCCCTGATATGGTTGCTCTCGAAAGCAAGAAAATAGAGAGATATATCTGGGGACTGTCTCCCCAGTTCCAGTCAAGTGTGTTGGCTTCCAAGCC